TTTTTGAATAAAAAGAGATTAATATGAATACATTGACAAAACACATTACAAAAGCCAAGACGATTTTATTTCTTTTTTGACTAGATATTAAAATAAGAAATGTTTATAAATTATTTATTTGTCATTTGGAAGACATTAGATGCGGCCATTAAATTTTCAATATATTGTCCTAAAACTTGATTTTCTGAACGTAATTTAAAATTTTCTTCTTTAACAGTATCAACACGATGTGATAAATCATCAAGAGTCTTTTGTAATGTTAAAACTTGATTGATTAAACGTTGTTTTTCTTCTTCTTCTTCGGAATTATAATTTAAATCATAGGATGTACGTGAATGTGTTGATAATGAATCCGGATCACTTTCAATATTACCATTATTATTATTTTGAATTATTCCAGCAGCCATTGATCCTTGTTCATTGTCCGGTGATTGAGCCATCTTGTTATTATTGTTTAAAGTGAATGAGTATATGTATATGAATGAGCAGATAAACAATAATAAAAATAAACAAACAAAAAATTCGTTGATCTATAATTTTATATAATTTATCAATAAAATACAATAAAAATCATTTTTATTGTAAAATAAAATGAAATTATAATCATTATGAAAAATATTTTAGCGACATCTGTTGTACAGTATTATGAGGGCTTTGTTATAGTTACATGAATTGTCAATGGCAATATGTTTTAGTTGTTACTTTAGTTTTTTTATCATCAGCTGAAACTTCATAAGAAAGTTGTACGACTAACAGTTATGGCTAAATTAGTAACACGTCCACAACGTTTTACACCTGAAGAATGGAAATTAGCATCCAAAGTTAAACATAAGAATACTGAACGTGATCGTGCTGCTACTGAACGACTTGTTTTAGAATGTGATCGACTTGATGGAGAAGGCCGAGGAACTGTTGATCGTACATTAGCCGATGTTAATAAAAAATTGGGTAAGATTTTTTTACTAGTAGAATAAGCAAGAAAAGAGAATTTAGATTAGATCTGATATTTAATTAACTTAAATAAAGTCTGTTGATGATAGCATCATTGTTAGTATTGTATAAGAAATATATGAACTATACTAACATGATGCAGAATAAAATAATTATATCGTTTCGAAATAAATATTAGACCAGATTATGTTCAAAAACTGACCGATGCACTTTATGTGTTCAATAAACGATATGATTTGGAAACTAATCATATCAAATAGCATCATAACTAGAGACCATCGAATGTAAAACCCTACTTAATGGCCTTTAGTTGATACTATGTAAAATAGCCCTATATCGCCTTTGCATAACTTTTAATTTGATATTTTGTAACTAAGGAACCACGTTATAGTTTGTTTTCTTTCTTTAAAGAGTTTTTATACGATGTAAAATACTTAATATATAAAATTCTTCGTGATTCTTAGTTGTTTAAGGCAATCCCGATAAATTTTTTTGAGCTTAATTTCTATTTCTCGACAACGATAAATAATGTATATTTATTACTATTCAAACAAATATAATTGTTTTTTGATTCATTTCTTTTTTTGTAGACAAGTTAAATATTGCTATTAGATAATTGACAAAGCATTTGAACTAATTGAATAGAAAAGGAAATGAATAGAACGTAAAAAAAGTTAATGAAATGTTAATTAACAAAAAAGAAAACTCGAGCAACTATTATAATATTTATTATATTCTTATTCGTTTGTCTGTATGACACAATTACTACATCGATTTACACGATAGAATACTAGCAAACATAATTAACAGAACATTAATACACTAAATGTCTTCAATTTGTCGACAGGATGTTGTGTTAATGATACTGCTTTTCTTTTTTTTTGTTTCTTAAGAAGTTGTTTGTTTGTAACAGATGATATCAAGGACATTTAATTATCTTTTTTTTTTATTATTTTCAATAGAACAACGTTTGGATCATGTTAAGAATTGGAAAGGTGAACTTGAAGTTAAACGAACAGAATTAGCAAAAGAAATCGATGCTACTGAAACTTATCTTGTACGTCTTGAAAAATCTCTTCAATCACTTCAAGATAATTTACATATTGCTCAAACAACATTAGCAAATCGGTAGAAAAAAATATTTTTTTAATTTTATAACTATTTTCTTTTGATTTTGTTTCTAGAGAAAAACGTTATGATATTGATTTAGTTCATGATGATGTTCAAAAGGATTTAATTATGGAAATATCAGCCATACAAGGTGCCATTGCTTTATTAACACGTACAATTGAACAAACAAAAGAACAGCTTAGGTAAGACTTTTTCTCTTTATATCTAAATTAATTCAATACAAAACATGAAGGTTGTCTATATTCTTTGTAGCATAACTAATGCCCCAATGAATAGTAATAATTACTAAAAGGGATCACTTTGTCATAGTTGACATTTCATCTAAAAAATATCTTTCACTATGAAAGCAAAAACACACACACACACACACGCACACGTATATATATTTATATATAACTATATCTATTAGCGTTTCTTTCCTTTGATCCTCTGTCGACGCTCTCGTAATATTTCAGTTATCTCATCAACACCAGGTTTTGTCTGAGTAGGTTGTGTTGGTGAAAATGAATTTCTTGTAGCAGTATCTGTCTGTTCGATAATTGAGCCAGTTGGTGATCGATGAGAACTTATTGTAATTACTGATGAACGTCGACGTGTAGGTGTTGGTGGGACAAGTAATTTCGGTAGATTACGAAGAGGATCATCTGTAGTTGTCGTTGTTGTTGTTAAACTAGGTAGAAGCATTTTATTATCAGTAATTGGATATCCACCACCAAAACTAGCAGCGATTTTTGGATCAGACATAACAGGTAAAAAAAGTAATTTGCCTAAACTTAATAAACCTTGATCAGGTCCAAGTGTTGACATCATTTTTGCTAAACCTTCAAGAACAACTGGTTGGGAAGCTTTTTTTTCATAGGAATTAAATAATTCTTCAATAACATGTGTAACAACAAAATCTGATGTATTCGTTTCTAATAGACGTAAAACAAATATTCCATCACATTTTAAATAATTTCTTGCAAAATCTGCATGTGAATCATCACGATGTAAAAGTGATTCATCTCTTAATTGTACGGATTTTCGAGAAGTATTTTCCGGTGTTGTCAAAGATTTTCTTAAATGTCGTATTAAAATTAATTTTAATCTTGTTGTTACATATTTTATTCGTACAGGACGAATAAATGAATATGACCACGTACATAAGGATATAAAATTTAATATAACTATCATTGTATACCAAAAAAATAGAAATGTAAATAATTGTTCGAATAATAAATTATTTGGTAATACACATTCAACAGTATATCGATGTGAATTATATAAATGATTAGGTTCACGTACTCTAATAATAATTGAATATTATAAGTTTAGAAAATAATAGTATTATTTTGTAACTTACTCAAAATCGCATAGGGTTACTTTTGGAAAATATTTTGAAAGACCACCTTCATGTCGATAAGATTGTTGTAATGGTTCATTTTTAATAAGTAATATTAATTTTTGTATTAATTCTAAACCATAACGATAATATTTTATTCCAAGCATTTCATTAAATAATGCTAATTGGCCAATTGAATTAATAACATAAAGTAGTTTTGTTAATAGATAAACCATCATAAAATAATTACCTTGAAATTTTCCATACATACAACAAAATACTGCTTGTACACGTTTAAGTATGCTTAAATTTCGATTTTCTCTACCACGTCTTGGATCATCAATAAATTCATCAATAGATGCAATTATATAATCCATTATTTTACGTCGTTTATCCATTCTATCAATTGATTTATAACTTTTACCAGCTTCAATTATATCTTTTAAATCCAAACCACTTCGAGTCATTAATGATTGCCAAATAAGATTTGGAATGTAGAAAAGAATACTAAATTAATACAAAAAAATAATTTTTAATAAAAGAATATTTTTTTTTTTTATTACCTAAGAAAACACAAAATAAATGGGATCCATTGATAATAGAGTAATTGTAGATGGTGTCTTTCGATACTAGTTCGGGGAATTTTTTGTGTTTGATTTACATAGTATGTGTTAGTAATATAACATATATGATTCGTATAATCTTCATAACCGGATGTAAACATTGCTGGTACCCAACCTTAAAAAAAATTATAATTCAATGAAAGAAAAATAATAATAAAAAAAATGATTTTATTTGTTTACATTGGATTTGCTTGGAACTAAATTGTCTGTTTGTAACAATTGCTGAGAAAACATTGAGTAAGATAACTGTATAACGATAGTTTAGACGATCAACAAAATCATCTGGATCCGCTTGAGGCGCCTGATTCTGACCGGCAAGACTCGGAATGCCCTTCAATAAGAGAAATGCCATACGTCATCGATATTAATCGATAGACCATCATCTCTTTCTCAGTACATTAAAACCTGCTTTTGATCTTGATGATCATAAACCACTTTCACCAATTCGTTTTATTGATCAATCTATAAAATAACAAATCATACCGAGATTTTTTTTTGGTCGAATGAAATAGAAAGACAAGAAAAGCATTTGCGCACGCAGATATCTACATGTATACATGCATATATATATACATATATACATGGTAGGACGATAATGATCACAAGGCTGATGCTGTTGTTCGCATCATCGAGATCTACGATTACTAGCAGTTAGTCGACGGGTCTTTTTCATTTATCACAAACAAACGCATAAATACTCATATATAATTGTCAACAAGCTTGTTTGATGACAATCACAATAGAAGAAGAGAAGAAAAAAAAGGGAATTGGATTTTTTATGTATATTTAGAGACCTAAATATCTAGAGAAAGAGAGAGAGAGAAAAGGAAAAAGATAAGAAAACATGAACATCAATCGTCGTACTAACTTGAGTTAGAGAAAAGAAATAGTAAAAAATGATAATGATATCACCTCTTTCCACAAATAAATGTAAAACATCTTATATCATACACGTAATATAATCAAATGATTTCTGTAATATCACATCATTAGTAACTGTATGTATAGTGCAACGTGTCGTTTAGAGATATTTCTACTCATATTGACAAGCACGTCCACTATCACTCTCCTAGCTCTTATAGTAGAAACTGATGTGATGATGACATTTCTTCTGTATGGCGCGCGGCAGTGTAGTTTCTTTTGTTCATCAATTTATTGAAAGCACAGCTGTTTAGTGCGCGCTGTCGTTTTCTATGTTTATTATGAGATAATAGTAGTCATGTTGCGCGAAATAAAATGAATATATGAAAGAGTATAAAATAACAAAAAAAAAACAAATAATAATAATAATAATAATAATCTTACTAAGAAAGTTATAGTTTTAACTTCTGTATCATTGAATTCTAACATATAATTAATCTTTATCATTTGTCGATATTCTTTACATAAACATTATTTAACTCGACTTCTCCTTCTATCATCTATAAGCTAATGTTTGTTGTTGATGGTGCTATTTTATAGTAGAGAATCTATGGTTAGACATATCGTAATGAGAAAATATAACACTCTAAGTAGTAATCTTAGCTATAATTCGAACTGCCTGTCTATCACTGTATCACATATAACTACAGTAGAATGGTAATACTTTACTGTTTTTTTTTCTAATATACAACATCTTGCAAACAGCACATCTACCCCTTTGGTGACATAGAATAATTTGCTCGACAGTATCCGAAAAGATGCTAAGAAAAAATAATAACAATATAAAATAATAATGATAATGATGATGAATTCTGTTGCTTTTTGGTTTAAGGTTATAAAAAACCAGTTACTATTTAATGTATCTATGCTTACAAAGAAGAAGAACGCGAGGAAAAAGAAATGTCATCCACAAAATTACGATGAGCAGGTGACGCATGATTTTCATGGATTCTTTTTTCTTCTCTTCGTCTTCTTTACAATCTTTCTATCTAAGTGTCGATTGGAATTATGTCCGTATATGTTGAAAGTCGTTCGCATGACTTCCTGTCTCTTATTCATTTTTCCATCTTCTTTGTATTTGTCTTCGTCTATACTGATCGAATCCGTCGACGCCTTTCTTCATCTTTTTTTTTCGGGAAAATTGAATAGAAACATAATTGTGTTCTGTTCTTTTTTCTTTAGACTAATGCGTAAATCTCGCTATTTACTTGATCGTGATCTTAAAGATAAATTTGCTGCTCAATCCATTGATGAACATGCTATTGATTTAAGTTTAACAAGTCCACAACTTTATCTTAAAGAAGGTGTTACAAATATCAATCCTCGGTATGTAAACAATAATTTTCTATGTATAAATATACATATTTATATAAATAAATAAAGACAGAAGAGAATTATCTCTCGAGACTGAAAACTTTTTAGTTGATGTAGATGGAAAATAACGCCCATGGGTGTGTGTATTCCAGAAGCAAAAACATGAATGTATGCTAATCATTAAAATTTCTCGAGATGAATAAGATCGTTTTTCTCGTTTTTTCTTTTGCCTTTTGTGTAAAAACGAGATCAAATAGCATTTTAATAATTTTAAATTTATTAGTTCGGTCTCTGAACCGTTTTGGGAAGAATATACAGATGAAAATATTAAACATGCTGAAGCTCAAAGACTTAATGCTGTACAATTACGAAATGTAATTGATGGTGTCTTGAAAAAACTTGTTGCGGATATGAAACAAGCTGTTGAAAAAACACGACGTTCATTTGATCGACGTATTTTTGAATCAAAACAAGCAAAACAAAAATTAGAAGATCAATTACGTGATGTGAATATTTTAATAAAATTTTTATTTTTTTTACAGAAATATTTTTTGTTTAGGTTAATTTACTTATTGATTCACTTGAAGAAAGTATTAAAAATACAGAAAAAGCTATACGTGATAAAGAACAATACTTGAAATTGGCTCATACACGTCTTGATACACGTAATAAACGACCTAATGTTGAACTTGTTTATGATCCAGCACAAAAACGTCTTATTGAAGAAGTACGAGAAATTGAATGTGAAATACAACGACTTCAAGAACGGTATGTAAAAAGAGATAATCATACTCGTTTCGATTTCCTTGATCTTATATATATACACAAGGAAAACAAGAAGATTAAGAGAAGGTGCAATAGCTAAAATGTCACTATGAGAGTTGAAGCGCGTTCTTGATATAGATATCATATTTCTTTTTTTTTTTGATCATCATTATTAATGCTTGTTACGTTATTTTAGGTTGAATGAATCACATGTTCGTCTTCGTAATTTAGATCGTGATAAATTAATATTAGAAAAAGATATTGAAACAAAAACAAATACAATATTTGTTGATGAAGTTGAATGTCATGAAGGTTTAAGAAAATCAATTTTAATTGAAGATTGGTAAAAAAAAGAACAAATAAGACACAATATCCATAACAAAAAAACATTCCAGAAAATATTTTATTCTCTTTGTGATTTCTTTTCTTAATTAAAATAAAAACTATTTGAATTATTCAGCAAAATATGATCATAAATCGTTTAAAATCCTATATTAGTAAACATACGACGATCTTTGCTATAGACGACTATAGACGAAATACGACAATACAATATGCTTGATGAAACAGACAATTTAATTATAGTTTTTCTATAATAAGCTTAACCGATCTTTTTGTAGAATATTTATGTTCTAAAGATTTTCATCTTCAAAAAATAGTTATTGTCATCAGTGAAATATTGTATTCGGCAAAATCAAATAAAAGCAAAAAAATAGAAAAGAGTATCAGATAATAAAGAAAAGTTCTTTCAATTATTGTCATTCAATAACAATGAACAATTTTTTATCATCAACGAATCATATTCTTCTTCTTCTTTTTTTTTGAAAGAATATTGTCAATAGATTAACTAATCATTCGTTCATTCATTGTTGACTATATATTTATTTTCTTATAAATTGACATGTTACTATAGTCTATAATTAAATGAAAAAGAAAAAATTATTATTATTGCCTTTCACTAATTTTTGTCAAGACTCATAGTAATTCGAATTTCAAGAATGATTTCTTGTTCTGATTCTAATTCAAAATGACATCGTTGTATATATATATGGTTAATATAACTTTAGTTTCTATATAATTACGTGATCCAGCAGCAAATGGTAGATAAGAAAAAAGGATGAGTTAATTTTGATTTTAAATCAATTATTGGATTACGTAACCATCGTATATAATTAAATTGATTTGGTCGAGGTCATTGTTCAACTCGTTGATGACCTGTATATACATTTATAAGAATTGATGTTCCAACAGGAATACGTGTAATGGATCATTAATTGTATTTCCTATTGTATGTTCATTGATACATTGTCGAAACAAAGTATTTTCTTGTATGACAGCTTCAATCATTGATAGACTATTAAGATGTTCATATATTGGAATTAAATCATTTGGTAAAATAGGATTCACTTCATCTCATCATGCTTGATATACAGAAAGATTTGTCATTAATTCATACATGATCCATATCATTAAATTACTTGTTATTTCATAATCAACGAAGATAAATGTTAATGTTTGATCTTTTATTTCTTTATTTGTAAATGATTGTCCTTGACTATCACTGCTAGATAGAAGTAAATCAAGAGGATCTGCATCTGTACATTGACTTTGTGATCGTCCTTGCCCTCTATGATATATATAATTTAATCAACAAATTTATCCATTTCTTGAGTACCTTGGATTAATAATATTCTTTCGTCAGAATAATAATTGTAATATAATAGATATTAATATTATCTTTCATAATGCATGATAAGCAATAACTGAAAATACTTCAGTAAATGTGTACGAATAACAATATCTCTTGCGTTTAATGCTATAATAGATAATATTAAGATACTAAATTGTTTTAATAACTAAATTACTAAAGAAGCGTATGAATTATTATTATAGTTATTTGTTCTATCATAATTGAAATAAAATAATGAAATATAAAAGTTTTAGTTTGTATATCTTGGTTTCGAAGTGTATCACAGATACATGTTGCTAATCATATTAATTTCTAGTATTTATTTAGTGGAAGAATAAATATTAAATACAAACATATACATATACATAAAACACTTTCATAGACGGATTACTCAACTTGATCGATCATTGTATAATTCGTTATTCTAATATTTCAATAGGTTGATAGTAGCTCCTGTACATTGTACGGTAAATACATCATTTAGAAGCTAAGAATACTCATCAATTATTAGAAGATTTGCATTGAATTGAAAACATGGTGGAATACGCGTTTATTATGGATTATGATCGACTCTCTTTGGTTAGAATATTTCAATCTCGGAGGTCTATCTCGTTTGATATAAATGAAAGATGATTATGTTTGTAATAAAGTCATATTCAATATGTAAGTAACTATCTTTTTCTTTTTTGCAAAAATTATTCATTTCTATTTCGTTCACATGTTTTTATTTAAAAAAAAAGAGTTTATAAAGTTCAGAAATGTGCTGATTCTTGTTCTAAAAAAAATTAAAATTAATTCAATATTTTAAATAGTTAAGGTATTCTCTTCCTATATATATATATGTATTAATTAATAATTATAAAACTATCCAATAAATAATGATGAATAAAAATATTAAAATTAAATTGATATTAAAATTAAAATTAAAAATTGGGTTGGAATTAAAATTAAAAATTAAAATTGAATTAAAGTTGAATTAACGTTGAATTAAAGTTAAAAATTCAAGGGTGGGTGTGGGTGTGGGGTGGGATGAGTATATACTCACACCTAAATTGTGTCATAGAATACTGGACTTAGTAGCCCGTATATAAATCAACTGGGATGTCAAAAGTTACTCTGTCGGTGAACCGTACCTGTCGGTAAAACAATCGGTTGGTGAAGTGGTGTCGGTGAAATGATTGTCGGCCAAATGACCCGGACCCTAAAAAGAAAATTTTATTTTAAGAAAAGAAAATATGGTTAAGGATCAGTAAAAGAGAATACAGTTAAGGATCAATAACAGAGAATATAGTTAGGGATCAATATACGAAAATATGATTAAAAATTAATAAAATAGTTCCAATAAAACATACAACCAATAATAAAATAAGGAGAGGCTTAAAATTTACGATAAAGTTAGCCACCGCAATATCATCCAAACGTCGATCAGATATTATTAAACTAATAAAAGAACCGGTATATTTTGTATTGATAAAATAAATTATTGTCATTAACAATTCAGTTTGGATTTTAGTAACCATTGAATTAATTACCGGTTTTATAAGAATGTTTAAAAACACTGAATGACCACTAACATTATTTTATATTTTAGTGCATCCTTCTCCACGAGACGCTTATTTCTATTATCTGTTTGAGATGGTTTCACCCGAACTGGTAATTGATTAGTTGTCATCATATATAAGAAGTGTAATATTGCTTTCATTATTATGAACATACCACAATAAATAAATATTAATGATAAATTAAAAACCAATAAAATAATCACATCAAAATCATATACTAAAATGTTTTTCAAAGACGACTAGAAAAAAATGCGAAAGATTTGTGCATCATAAAATCGATAAAAACTTTTCTGCCTACCATATCTATAGTGATAAATGTGAATAAAATACTTCAACTTTGAATTTTCGATAATTCTGTCTATATGTATTCTGTCATGTATTTCATAAAAGGAAAAAATTTGTTTAAATGCAAAGTCACGTTCTTTCTATCGATTCTGTACAATGAAATACACGTAATGAACTGTATTCAGATACAAATGAAAGAATGCAACATATTGTTTAGGCTATTATATTTATTCATATATTGAATACTTTCAAAAAAATAAAATCGAGTAATTCATATAAACTATTGTATGCGTACTTTCATTTATTTTAATCATACTGATAACTTCTTTTTCTTAATGATCTTCAGTCATTATTCATTAACTAAATTTCGTTGACCTAGATCTACAATAATCTATTTTTGTTATTTAAACTGAATTATTTAATATGAATATATAAATACTTGTGAATCATTCTCTATTCTTAAATATTCTCAAAAAGTATTCTAAATATTGTTATATAGAAACATATATCATTCAAAAGATCGTTGACATAATTTCGTTAACAGAAATAATTCAAAGCGATTGAGAAAAAAATCAGGTTGAATTTCAGCAAAACGCATGAAGAAAAAAATAGGAAGTTTAAGTATGATTGTCACGATATAATATAATTGGTATTCATCGAATATGATATACGAACGTCCCACTAAATATTCAAGAAGAAAGCCGGAACAAATATGTGGAGCAAATGTAGCTTCGATAAACCATCGACGTATATTCATTGTCGTTACACGATTAGTCTTATTCGACAATCCACACCATTGATATATATCACAACATATATAACAAAAAAGAATATAAACAGATGTCAATAATACTTCTTTGATCAATACAATCATTACATAGATGTATCTTTTTGAACGTGAATAGGATCTCAAGCGGATATTTGATTGAATTGTATGAATGATATGACGAAAACGGTCAGATATTAGTAACAAAAATACAGAGAAAATCAACAAAGCAATATAAATGAAGGAAAAAAAGACCAGAATTAGTGTCACAACCATAAAATGAGTTTGTAAACGCGGTCGCATGCTAACAAGACATTGCATTCGTTTGTTGTCCATTAATAAGAGTTGAGAAGATAACAATGGCAATGTTTCATTTGTTAATAACATTTATTTCTTTGTTAAGGTATTTTTTGAACAATATTTTTGTTTCAATCAGTGTCTATATAATCATAATCAATCTAGCAAAAATAATGGATTTTTTCAAACATGATTAGAAAGCTTTAGTTTTTATTGACTTTGAGGTAATAGAAATATTTTGAACGCATGTATATTTATACATAGACTATTTTTTCATAAAATTGCTTGACCTTCCTTTCTTTCTCTTCCTCTCTCTCTCTCTTTCATAATATAACGTGAGAGAGAAAAAAGAGAGAAACTATCCACAACTGACCTGTCCACAACAACATATGACCTCGTCCGTCTAGTTGAAAGAAGGAAAAAGTATATAGTTACCATCTTGTGGGTGTGTCTCTATTGAAAAAAAAAAGATAAAAATGATGCGAATAATTCTATTTGGTACTTTCTTTGTTTTGTTAACAAATAAACGTCAGCTTGATGCAGGTAAATATTTGAATTATTTGATAAATATTTTTTTCTTTAAAATAAAAATATTTTTTAGTTCGTGAACTTTATGGTCAATCTTCTGATCGGATACGGGCTGCAAATTTGAATATTGATCAACTAAAAAATCCATCTAAAGAATATGCTAGACAACAATATAAATATACGCGTGCTCGTGAACGTTCTCCTACATATGGACAATCTCGTCGTTTTCATTTTGATCAAGCAGCACGTGATGCACGTGATCTTGGTCAACCAGCATCATTTACATCACAAATAACTTCTTCATATTATTATTCATATGGTGGTCCAGGAACAAGTTTAGGTGCTTCAAGTCAAGAAGCATGTCGTTTAACAAATAATTTTTGTGCACGTGATTATCAATGTTGTTCGGGTAAATGTCGATGTGTTAGATGGTCGATTATGGGTAAAGTGTCTTGCTATAAAAAATGTTTTTAAAATAAATATCAAAAATTTTATTTATAAAAAATTTAAATAAAAATACATTGAATATTAAACTAGATTTATTACTACACTATTTTTAATCATCAATAAACTTTGAAAATGAGGTAAAGAATTCAGTGCAGATGATATAAATCATATGACAAAATCAAAAGGGAATTCTGTTGTTAACTCCATTTTGAAAACATATATGGCATTATTACACTTAGCAGATATGATCGTATTATATAGATTTATTTGGCTTTTTTTTATATAATCATGGAAATTATCTTGATAATTAAAACTTATATTAAAGCTCCTCGTACTTATTGAATTTATAGAAACTTTTTGTTTAATGATTGTTTAATAAACACGTAAATCTAATATTGTTGCTATATCATTTAACGTTGATGTAGGTTTACGAATAGATTTATTTCCAATAGTTAATAAGTATGCTCAAAGTTTGACGTCAATGAAGAATGACTCATAAGAGAACTTTTTTTCGAATTTTATTTCTAAAGAAAAACGGATGCTGAAAAATATCATCAGCTCATAAGGAAATTATATATAGTAGACAATGGTGAATCTAGGACTTTTGTGATGGGGAGCGATTTCGATCAAAAGCTGTACTATCACCCCCATTTAACATATCATCTATTAATCTTCGGATCATTGTGGCTGAGAGAAAATCGAAAAATCAATTTGGGACAGGGTGCAATCGCACCCAACGCACACCTTCTCTTCTACTGTCAAGAATTATTATAAAATCTAGGATATATATTTTTTTACTCGTTAAGTAAATATGAAACTTATAATAATTGAATATTAAACGTTGTTAAAAGAAGTAGACGAAAAAATTTTATTTTCTAATTTACATTGTGAATATTATTCTGAATATTTAAGTGTGTACAATGTTTATTTATTCAAGGAAGACTGGAAAATAACTTGTTTATCCTGTCTAGTTAAGAAAACTTAAAAAACATTTAATAGTTATTAACCGTGTAAAAAAAAACAATATTTGTACTGATTATGGTTATAAAAAATAATATTACCCTATTTTAATTTTATAGGTTTGAAAAAACAAGACTTTCATGAGATAAAAGTGTATACATATGAATAAATTATCTTTATGATTATTTAGTAGATGATAATGTTAAATATATTTTCTTGTTGTGTAAAAAGCTCATGATCACTTAACATCACTTTTCTTATTAAAACGAAGTTTCTTTTCAATTACTGCAAAAATAACTTACACCATTAGGTATTAAAAATCCGCCTTTTTCTTCAAAAGATTAAATGCATTTGGGTTGTTTCGTTAAAAGTAAAACAAACAAAGTGCCATTTGTTGATGTTTTCATCGACGATTATTTTTTTTACGCATAATTTAAACGATGCATGTATTGTGTTTCATGTTAGACGCAAATACGTTGTTACTTTTTCGTATTCCTTCTCTAAAAGATTTTTTTTCTCTTTTTTATGACAACGAAAATGTTTACTTCTTTTCGTCATACTTTAAATACTTTTTGTTTGTAACGACGAATAAAAAGATTGTCCTTTTCTTATTTTTAAGCGATCACATCAAAAGGTATTAATGCAGAAACAAGCACGGGTTACACAAAGAAATATTCAATTTCAAGATACTGTTCAAATAAGACACATTCCAGCAAATGATGAACAACAAAATGAAATACAAACAGATACAACATGGAATCCAAATTTAAGAGATGTACAGTATAGTATTTCAATTGCTTTATTCTTGCATAAATTACTTTACATTATTTTTTATTAGAAAAATGTATTCAAAGATGAAAAACCAAAAACACAAAAAAGAATAGTTATTGGAATTATTCTCGCTGGTTGTCTTATTCTTGCTGCTGTTATTGGAGGCATAGTTGCCGCAGTGATCACTTCAAAATGTAAAATTCTTGTTTTGTTCTAGATCAAACCATTGAACTTAATACCTTTTTTTTATTATCTTAGCATCAAGCACAGCTGATAACTCTCTCTCATACAATGCTAATTGTGATGTAGGTTCAAATCAATGTATATCATCCAAAGGTCTCTATTGTTCAAATGGTTTTTGTAGTTGTACATCACCACTATCATGGAATTCAGTCAATAGCACATGTAAAATTTCAATAAATTGATAATAGAATTAATTAAATTCAAGATTATTCTAGGTGCTTTATTAAGTTATAATAAAACTTGTACATCATCAAGTCAATGTGATTCATCATTACAACTTGTTTGCACAAATCAAGTTTGTCAATGTAATAGTTATTATACATATAATACATCAAGTCGTACTTGTAAGTTTTGATTTACTTAGAAAAAAATTTAATAAAAAATAAAATAATTAGGTACACTTATTCTAAATAATACTTTAACATATGGTGATACATGTACTGTTGGATCAAATCAATGTGAATCATCTTCTGGATTAGTTTGTACAGGTAATTGTTCATGTACAGCAACTAAAGCATGGAATGTATCAGCTTGTTCTTGCCCATCGGAAACATTTTTAAATTCATCAGGCCTTTGTGGTAACTTTTGATTGACTTCTTTAATGATGATAATAATTTTCATTTTTTTTGGTTAGAAACACAACGTTTATATAATCAAACATGTGTTGTTGGATCGATGCAATGTGATTCATCACGAGGTCTTTCTTGTAATAATAGCATATGTATATGCGATGCGACTAAATATTGGAATATGAATTTTCAACAATGCTGTATGAAAAACTAATTGATATTTAATAGATAAAGAAAAAGAAAATTTCTTTTAGATCAACGTCTTAATTATTCACAAGCTTGTGGTGCTGATTCTGATTGTATACCAACACTTAGTTGTCCAACAGTATCAGGCGTTTGTAATTGTCCATCATATTTATCTGATTATACATGTAATTGCCTTAATACTCAATACTATAATCCATCAACAATGCAATGTGGTATGTAGATTATATAAATATCTAGTTTTATTATCTATTTGAATTTATTTAATATAGTTAGTCGAGCTACATTAGGTGGTTCATGTACAACATCACTTAACTATACATGTCTTACAAGTCTTTATTGTAATGCAGGATCATGTGCTTGTCCATCTGGTACTACTTGGATTTCGGCAAATTCAACATGTGTATAATTTATGTAAACTATTACATTGAAATTTTTTGTATTGATGAAACTTATATTTATATATTTGTCTGCGAAGCAGATTTTATGAAAAATTTATGTAAAATAATTAATGAACAGTGAACGTAAATTATTTTTGTTTTGATATAGATAAATTGATAAGATTTGGTGTAATCATTTTTAAAGTTAATGTGATTTAAATAAATGGACAAAGTTTAATTAGTATATAGACTAGAGGATATTACAAGAAAACTTTTCTTATTTAAAATATTTTTTTTTCTGGCAGTCTTCAGCATTTAAAAATTTATTTATTTTCGATGTTTTTTCAAATAACTATAGAAATTATAAGTATTACTTAACAGAATGCACTATAGATTTCAATTGTTTTTTTTTGTTTTTTACTGTTGATTCTAAGTACATAACTAGAAAAACAATACTTAACTTGTTCTGATGGCAAACGTTTTTTCTTTATTCAATTATTGAATATTTTAAGAATAAAATCAGGTAATTATAATGAAGTTAGTTGATTGACAAGCTAATTGTTAAAATATGTGTCGATTAGGTAAATGATTAAAATTGTTATTATTCATGAATTTTTTATATTTTAATTAACTCACTAAAATGACATTACCATCTCTTTTTTCAAGCTTGTTTCTATAAAAATTTAATTAACAAATGTACGTGAACATTCATATTATTGTTACATATCTTGAGAATGTTTTTTGACGAATGTTCAGATACTACTGTAAAGCCGAGCATTGATTTTACTATCATCGAATATAAAAAAATGTTTTCTCTAACTTACTATAGAGTATTATGTAATCTTTCATGTTGGTTCCGGGAATGACCGAAACCTAAAAAGTTCGATCTCGATGTATGCTTAATAATGTATTAAATAATATAAAAAGATCAAAAAATAAAAGTATTAAGATGCTATCGATGAGCACGTAATCATTTTTGAATGGCAGTGAAATGATTTATAATAGAAAGTGTAATAGAACTTCAACCTAGGTGATTAAATCCACTAATGGGATTCCGCTATAGTTAAGCTAGAGAATTTATCAATAATTTCGTCGCTCCAATCACAAATATATGTTATATGGATGCTCTCATAAATAAAACAAGAATAAGATGGCACTGCTTAGTTATTGCTGTTAAACTGATCATTACATTTATATAATTTCGAGCATGCTATTTGCCAGATTGTAATCTGAATTATAGGCAAACGAAGCAAACAATTTAGTCATTGTTCTATTATTTTTTCTGTTATTATTAATGTAAGCACACGCAAACAAAATGATTTGTTCGTAAAAGAAGAAATAAAACAAGAGAAAAAAAAGGTTTTCGAACGACAATCGATTAAAAATGTCCCATTCGGAAGATCTGCGATTTTGAAAAAAAAATAAAAATTTCTTCTGTCAATTATTTCGCTCATAAAATAACACATATGCATTTGAAGATATTATTTGTTGTTTTTCATTTAATGAATGAACAGATGAATCATTAAATTCATGCCATTGATTTGTAAATGGATGTTTACATTGAGCTATATAATGACCAGAATATGCTGTGCCACTGTGATTTGAGATACCAAATAAATTATAAGTCGGAGCTGGTCCTAGAGAAGAAAAAATATTTTGTAATTAAAAGATTATTTTTTCTTCTTCTTAATTTAATTGTACCTTCATAACTTTCAGACATAACATCCATTAAATCGTTAAGTTTAAGATTATTTACTGGAAAATCTACATAAGTATTTAATTTTGTTCGACCTCGAGCTTGTGAAAAACGTTTTAAATGTAGTACGAGAATTTGCGGACATTTTTGTATAGAAAATTTTTTTGTACATCGTCGTTTTTGTTTACATTTAGCACACATCTAAATAATTTCAATATTCATAATAAAAAAATAACCGAAATAAGATAATTGCATTTTTATTTACTGGTTTTTCGTCTCCATCTAATTCTTCTTTACTCATAAATAATTGTATACATTCTTGTACACTACTTGATGATTTACTCTAAAGAAAAAATTAAGTTTAATTTAGTTTTCATTTTTTTGTTTTATTTTACTCTTGGTAACGGAATAGATAAATCCCAAAACATATCAAATGTTATTGATTGATATTGACAATGAGAACATTCCAGTGTACTTTTTAATTGTCCAGCAAATATATCTAAAATAGATTATATTTAATAAAGATTTTTTGTTTGGAATATTTATAAATACTAACCAACAATGCGACTATTATCAAAGAGTAAACAACGTTCCCAACTGAATTTTGCACGATCTTTTTCTCTAGAGTAATTAAAAGTTGTTAGAATAAATTAAAAATAATTAACAGAAATATCGAGACTTCTATAGGATTAAACGAGCGTTTTGAAAGCTAGAATTTTAATTATATGAATTCAGTTTTAACAGATTAATATTCAAGCCGAAATCATACATGTAATACTCTTAGTACGGATTTTTCTTGTAGAAATCGGATATGTGCTTCTAGAATATAAAATTCTAAGTTTTTGCGTATTGGCGCTAACCATCAATACACTTTACATATTTTCGAGTTTGTTTTTTATCATCCTACTTCAACTGGGTACTCTCTTAGCAAATTTCTCTTGTAAAAAGATTCAAGATTTTTTACTTCATTCGTTCTTCAGCTTTTTCATCAATTTTCATCGGTGATGGTTTTCGTTGAACACGACTAACATCTTCATTGAGTCCTTGTAAAAGATATCTTAAAAATTCTTGAGAATCTTGTTGTCTAAAAATTTATATTACAAAAGAAATTTTTTATTTTATTTATATTCATAATTCTTTCAACATACGCATAGCCAAGGAAACGTGGTGCAAATCGTCCAACTGTATTTTTAAATGCTGATGGACTTGCAACAGAATGATTTTCAGATGAAGTCCACATTTTTCGAATTAGATTTGCGTATTCTATTCAAAATAATTTATATGAAAAAATTCAAACTAAAACAAAAAAAAAGATTATTTACCTCGCATTAGAATACCTCTCATAACACTTGTTGATGATGTATTCAAACAATCTGCAAGATTTTCTTGCAAACAAAATAATAAAAGTGGTTTCGTATTTGATAAACATTGCAGTACAGAATTCATAAAACACTGGAATAGAAAAACTTTTTATTCATGTTCGATGGAGAAATAAATAAATTACAGTATTGCCAAGATTTTGTAGGCCAGTTAAACCACCAGATTTTAATTTTGAATCAATTGGAGAAGGCGAATGACTATTTTGTCGATCAATGGAAGAAACTTTGGCATTGGATGAGGATGCATCATCATTTGAATTGCTAGCTAATGTTGAAGAATTCGACGCGTTCGATGTACGTCGTTCAGAATAATCACTGATTGTACTGCGTTGATCTGTTGCAGCAGCCTAAATGAAATAAAGATGATTAAAAATATTCTTATCTTACATATATAGTTCATTAATAGAGAATTGCAAACCTGTATTTTGCTGATATCATGCTGACTTAAAACTTTCTTAAGTATCCTTTTCAAAAGTTTCAGATTAATTACACTCATAGTTGCAATCTACTATTCTTAAAGCAACATTTTTTATCTGGAATAAACATCAAGGATTTATTTGTCTACAAATAAAATACCACAATAAAGCTTAAATATCAATAATAAATGTTAATATACGATTAAATAAAATTTATGTGTATTATATTTCATTTATTCAAAGAACCTATAGAAAAATATCGGATATCTTCTATTATTAGAATTAGTATAGAAATTTACTGAGAAATATTGTCTAAAAAATAGTTAACTCAGTCAAAATGAAATAATTGAATATATAAGATGGGTTTTAATAAAAAAAAATTGAATAGAATTAGTTCATAGTTTTTTCTTTGGGAATCATGCAATACATATATGTTATGTAAATAAAAAGAAGAACCTCATCTTCAGACTGAATGAACTTCATGGAGAATAGAGTATACATCAAAGACAAGAGTTAGAAATCAAAAAGATTTATACAAACGGCAAAATATTCCATATGTTCAATGGGTTTTTAATCAGAAATGAAATATGATTCTGAACTGATTATTAACACATTCGAGGCGATTCGACTTACCGGTGGGTAACATCGCCTCAAATATATCAAGAGTGCGGTCCCGATTCTGGAGAGTCGAACACGATCACCTTTACTTACAAATTGATTTTGATTAGATAATCTAGATCTTGTTGAATCATTTGAAATTCTTCTTTGACTTGAAGATAATGTTGTAGTTGGAATGTTTCGTGTAGAAATATGTGATCTATCCACTGATGCTTGTCTTATACCGCTTATTGGTCTTGATCGTACAGTAGTATTAGTTGGCCCTATATTCATACTACCTGCTTGAATTGCTCTTCCAAGCGTTGTAACATTTGGAGTATTATGTACTGATGGCATTGGACGTGTCACTGATGATGTTCGAGTAGAGGTACTCGAACGTCCGCTTGACATTGACACAATTTATTTTATAGTTGATGGCCAATGGCCATCTCCAAATTTAATACATAAATTTTGTATCTAGAAAAAGAAGAATTTTTTTTTCTTATTTTCTTTTTGTTTTGTTATAAAGAGAAAAAAACAACAAATTAAAACTTCTTGTTCTCTTATATTTTTATTCTTTTTTTGTTTTCAAAACCAATGCAATACATTAAAAATGGATCTAGATATATTTATGAATTGATGTTGTATTGCTTGTATTTAGAAATAGGTATGTGGACGACGAGTTGTAAATCGTGGATGATGTAAACGTTTTGTTGCCTTATTAACCATTGGAAATCTAAGCAAAAAAAAAACGGAAAATTATAATAAATACCATAAAATCGTGATTTAATATTATTTTACTTGATTTTTGAATCATGAAATTGTGTGACATGTGGTCGACGACATTCTTTAGCAGGTAAACGTTTTATTTTCATGATTTGAATTGTTGATGGTCGTGCACGATGTTTAGCACCCATATCACGATAACATTGTGTTACAGCTAATGCTCGTGTTAAATCACGATATTCACGGTACATATTATGTGTACCTGAACGTGAATCATAACGAAGCCAAATACCGAAATTTTTAACAACTAATGGTTTACGTTCATTAACTAATTTACATTCAATAATTTCACCAGCACTTTTCTTAACACGTTTAAGTTGACGTAAGAAAAACCAAAAACGAGATTTAGCTTGAACTTCATCTGGTGCATAAATATGCATTTCATAAAGTGGTGGTGTTTTTAAGGCTGCTGATGGTAATTTACGACCAATTATACGATATTCACGAAGATTACCTTTAGCTTTCATGATGAATTTCGTTAGAGATGGAAAAAATTTATCTAAAAAATATAATAGAATAAGACAAGATACATAAATAAATGAAAGCCGAAGAAAAAATAATCATTGGAGATTTCATGAGAATATATGGAAAGGAAAATGATTGGTTTATTTTTGTTACTTATTGGAGAGGATTGGAAAGGAGGTTGAAAAGCGTAACAACCAAGATGGTAGAACTACACATATCTGTTTTCAATAAAATCGATCAAAACAAAAATGAATAAATATATCTATGTTGCACAATGTTTTAATTATTATAACGAATATTCGATTAAAAATAATACTGAATCAAAATTTCAAAGGAGATAGATTTTCATCAATAAAAAAATCTATCAATATTTTTTTTTGTATTAAAAAATGACGTCACCAAGTTAACAGCCTTCATCGGATGTAGAAGCTAAGAATATAGATAGTAACCGCAAACTATAGACTTAATAATGATATGCTAAAATATTCGAATGTGAATATAGAGTTTCTTCTGCATAATACGCATATATTTAAGTACTTATAAACTTGTAATTTTTTTATTAGAATTACTTGGAACATACATTCTTTATTTGAATTTATGAAACTTCGCTTGTATAAAAATAAGTTCCAAATTTTGAAAAATAAACAAACTATACAATATATATTTGTTTATTCAAAACTAGCTTTTAGGACTTTACAAAGGTCTTCTCATTTCTTTTGCGATAGAAGTTAAGAAGAAATTCTATTGACTACACATATTATTGTTATGATATGTATTAAATAAAGAATGCTTAACCTCAAATATTTTATTAATTATACACAAGAATTCATTAATTAATATACACATATAGAATGATACATTACTATAAAAAGTTTGAATCAAGAATATAGACAAATAGCTATTATTCGAATTCACATTTATTGACAAAAATTTAGATTGTACCTTGAGTGAAAGTATTTATACAGCAATATTAATTTCCAAAATTGATTATTAGAAAAATCTAGAGTTTCTATTGATTAATCTTTCATTCTATATTTTATTGCATTACTTTTTAATCAAACATGTATAGAGTGATAATAAAATAACTGAAAAATAAACTTTTATTTTTTATCAGTGAATAGGATAAATCTATATATTTCAAGATTCTATGTGAAAGCAATGAACATCGTTCAATGAATGTGCTATTAAATATTTCTCTATACGTTGATAGATAATGCCAGTGTTCTAGTAAAAACTAGTCAAACTTTAGTCATTTGATAAATTTTAATCTATTTTCTTACAATTCGATGGCTTCCACACATTTTTTTCTAATCATTCTTGATCGCTTCAAGAAGATGGAATAATATACGCTTCGCTTTACCAAATTAACTTAATTGAATTATTTTTTATCTTAATCGATATGTATGCGGTTAATCAATACATGAAGCTACAGATCATTGTCATTGACTAGTGATACTTCTTGTGTATTTGTTTCATTTGAGCAATACAAAAAATAGAATGTATTTAAAAAAAAAAAGCATTTCTACTTCAGTATGGTAAAATGAATCAATAAATCAATAGACAAACTAGATTTCCATTGATGACAATAATGTAATAGATCTTGATAAAATTAATAAAATTGAGTTTAATATAGTTTTATTAATAGTTTTTATACGAAAAATACAAACTATAGCTTTCAGCACTTCAAGTGCCATCGTCAGTAGTGAAAGTACTGTATAATGATGTTAAATATGCAAATTATGATGAACTACAATTAAGTATCACTGAATAAATACAACAACAACAAGAACGCTATGTTGTTGTCTATATAACTAGTAATAAAACTATGTTATACTCAATTTTACTAGATTTCCATTAATAATATACTAATAAATAAAAGTTAAATGAAATGAATTCATCTCGTGTTCTTTTTGATTGAATAAAATATATTCGAGAGTAATTATATGTTAAGTATTGTGCTCAATAATGGCCTGCAACACTTAAATGAAGTTCACTTAGAAAAAGGAAATTTAATAATAATATTGATGCTTATGATGCAAAATACTTGATTAAGCAATGGAAACATGAAACACAGATTTGGGTACTATCAGATAGGTATGTGATAGTGATATTCTTTCGATAGTATCTCGTAAAATCTTTTATAACTATTTGCAAAGACATATTGTCAATACTATTTCCTAGAAAAGTTGTCTCAAAGAGAATAGAATGATTTCTCGTCATTTCTCTTGGTAGAAATCATTTTTTTCCTCCTTGCATTATTTACACATAAAAGCTTTAACTAACTGATAAAAAATTCTATTTGAAATTTTGTTTATTTTCATAATACATCTGATAGAAAAAGTATTTTTAATCTGCTATAGACGATATAAATCTAATGAACTTAACGAATGTCTTGAATAATAGATATATCATATGCTGGAGACAAAATCAAAAAGATATTTTTCTGTCTTTCTTGACATCATCTATAAAATCAATATATTCAATGACATTAGTAAATGTAAGAACAGTGTAACTAACATGATAATCATTTCTATTGATACTTTACTGCATAGCTAAGCAAAAAATTATTTTCATATTATATCGATCTGATGTGATTTTGTCTTGATATACTCCAGTGCGATGCTCAGAGAGTTGTTGATTTCTCTTATTTTTTGCGTGTTAGCTATCAATTAGGTACAGAGCATAAATAAATCATAGTAAAGAAAGGAATGTCTTCTTTCTCTTCATACAATAAGTAGTATGGTCTCTAAGTGATTCTTATCATCTCTGTCGTCTGTATTTCTTCATCGTTAATTATATATTTTATTTGGTTCTGCTGTCTATATTAATTTCAAGAAAAATGTAAAGATTTATTAACTGTAGATAAAAAAAGGATACAAAATTCAATAAATAGAAACATGATACGTTCTTTCTCTTCTCAATGAATCTTTTGATCAAATGAGTTTAGGTTTGGATTGTATAAAAACAAAAAAATATTTTCCGTCAAGTCTAAAACAATATAACAACAATGAATAATGGATTTCTATTCTAGTTTTTTTTTGTAATTATTTAAATATTAACGCAATTTTTTCGACTAACACTTTTCTCTATATTCAACAGTACTATTCCAATCATTAGTAAGTCAGACAATAGAAAAATCTCGTCAATGTTTAGTCAATATAATCGGTTTAATATTCTGTATGCACATGCATGCAATCGATTTCGCTAAGGAAAAGACGTTCCTACTAAGACAATCATCCTTTTTTTTATCGTTGCTGTCGTTCCATTCAGAAAAACGTTTGTTCGTCGTTGATAAGAAAAAAAAAAAGGAGAGAGTGAGAAAGACAAGTAAGTCAAGAGAAGGAATAAATTATTTGCTAGGCGTGGTAGCAGTAGTAGTAGTATTTCTTTATATTTTCTTTTTCTATTCGCTCTCTCTCTCTCTCCCTATATATTATATATATTTATTATATATACTCAAGCATGCACATTTATGTTTTCTTTTAGAGTTGCTACAGTCGAGTTGCTGCTTTCTTCAGTTAATATTTATTATTTTACATATATTTTCTACTTTCATGTTCAATGTCTATGAATTTAATTTCACGTTCTTGTGATTATAATGTTGATTTACCGTGATAAAAAGAATGTCAGGAGTAACAAAGTCAATACCAATGATTTATAAGTAAGTTAAAAAAAATTCATTTTTATAATTTATTAGAAAATAAAAATCTTGTAAAAAAAAAGAAGTTCTCTATCAAATAAAATAATAATAATGATAGTATTGATATGATTTATATAATTCAGTATGATAAATGAATGAATTTAATAATAATAATGTCAAAGTAATATACCGAACATATGTGTTTATTTATCAGTAAAAAATTTCTTTGCAGTCATCATTTTCTTTGTAATAATAGTATGTTTTTTGGATATTGTGCGGGTTGTTATTAAAAGAACGAGTTGCTTCGAGCGTTTTGGCTTATCGTCTTTCATTACTAATATAACCAACGCCTCAATTCACAAGCAGAAAACAATTAGAGATAAGATGTTATAGCTACATAGCAATACTAGTTTTTCCTCACTAACACGTACTACATCCCCGCTGATCATTTGGTATATATTGTCTGCTAATACAACAGTAAATTTAGAAACAAAGAATCTGTTATTATTGATTATTTTCTTCTACTCTGTATGACTACACCATCGCCTTTATCATATCATCAAGATCAACGTAAATTAACTATAGATACTAGTGAACAACTTCTAGTTTCACCTCCTATAAGAAGTATACCTTATTCAATACGTCAGTTATGTGGTTCAATTACGCCTTTAGATTCAAATTTAAATCTGAATGCATTAAATTGTTCTCATATAATAAGATATAGGTTTATATATTTTTTATACGAAAAAAAAAACAAAATCTATTTAGAAAATGATTTAATTTTATTTAGAAATTTGGGACGTAATGGTTTACGAGTATCTCAATTAGGTCTTGGTACATGGGTAACATTTGGTGGACAAATTACTGATGATATTGCTGAAGAATTATTAACAATTGCTTATGAAAATGGAATAAATTTATTTGATACAGCAGAAGTTTATGCAGCTGGAAAGTAAGATTCTTTCTATTTAGTTACAAGAAGGAGAAAAAAAAGTAAATCATTTTCTTTTGTCTTCTAATAATAGAGCGGAAATAACACTTGGCAAGATTTTAAAGAAGAAAAAATGGAAACGATCAAGTTATATAATAACGACAAAATTATATTGGGGAGGAAAGTAATTATTTAAAATAATAAACAAAACAACAAACCAAAAAAAAAATAATTAAAATTAATTCTAGAGCGGAAACAGAAAAAGGTCTTTCACGTAAACATATTGTTGAAGGTTTAAGATTAAGTCTTGAACGTTTACAACTTGATTATGTTGATATTGTATTTGCTAATAAACCGGATAGTTCTGTACCAATGGAAGGTAAAACAAAATATTTGCTTGATTAAACAAAAAACAATATTTTCTCTTGAAGAAATTGTTCGAGCATTTACCCAAGTAATTAATGATAATCTTTGTTTTTATTGGGGAACATCACGTTGGTCACCAATGGAAATAATGGTAAAATAAAACTTACATATATAAAAAAAAATTTTTGTTTCGTATTAATTAAGGAAGCATATTCAGTTGCTCGACAATTTAATTTAATTCCACCAATATGTGAACAATCGGAATATAATTTTTTTCAACGTGAAAAAGTAGAAATACTTCTACCAGATGTTTTTCATAAAATTGGTTTGAAAGAAAAATAAATAATTAAATAAATATCAAGAATTTTATTCAAGAAAATCTTTCTAGGAATTGGAACAATGACATGGTCACCATTAGCATGTGGATTATTGACAGGAAAATATGAAGATGGAGTACCACTTCATTCAAGAGCAGCACTTAAAGTATGGAGATGTTAAGGAAATATATATATGTCTACGAAGATTGTTGTTTATAGGGTTATGGATGGTTAAAAGAAAAAGTATTAAATGAAGATGGTCGAAAACAACAAAATAAATTAAGAGAATTAACTATTTTAGCATCAACATTTGATTGTACAGTTGCTCAATTAGCTATTGGTATATATAATTATTATTTTCAGTCGAAATAATTATTATTCATTTTAGCATGGTGTTTAAAAAATGATAATGTTCATTGTGTATTACTCGGTGCATCTTCTGTTGAACAATTGTATGAAAATATAAATTCATTACATGTAAAGAAAAAATAAAGAAATGAATAATTTATTTTTTTTCAACTATTTTGTTTATGTTTAGCTTGTTTCAAAATTAACTCCTTCGATAATGACTGATATAGATCGAATACTTGGTAATAAACCAAATGTTCATGTTACAACAAAAAATGAAACAATTCAATTACAACAAAATCAACGATAAATTTTATTAACGTTTTTTTCGGTTTCTTTTTTTCCTTTGCTTTATTCCATTGAATTAATTTTTATTATTTTAATTTTTCATTTAATAACAAATTTTTCATGCCAACCTAATAATGATAGAGAGAGAGAGAGAAAGAGAAAATAAATGAATATTTTCAACAAAATGCTAATTTTACTTTAGATGTATCAATTCGAGAACGTTTTGAAAATGTTAATGTTGGAGGTTCATGAACTATTTCACCAAATTTTGGTTTATCTAATTTGTATATAATTTATTATTTTGATAATATTAGAAAAATAAAATTTACCTTGAAATATATTAAAATCATCATTTTTTAGTTTCTTTTCTTCTTTCTTTAATTTATAATCATCTTTTTTTCCTTGTAATCGTCTAAAATAGATACACAAGATTATTTTCTTATAATTCAAATAGCTGATCATAAATGTCTACTAACTTGGATATCCAGAAAAATATGATTATGATCTGACTTCAGAACATAATGTTGATCATATCTAGACTCATTCACTATCCTCTTTTCATGTCATGCATAGAAAAGCAATCAAGATTCTATATATAGATTTTACATCTATAGTAAACTCAGAAGTGAATACTAACACATAAATTTAAAAAAGTAATTATTTCTAATTGACACAGAAAATTAGTCGTTTTGCTAGTTCTATAGTAACAGAAATTATCATTGATTGCACTCGTTCTTATCTTTGAAGTAGTTAATAACTAGTCTGTTTTCTAAGAAACAATTCTATTGAAATGATTCATACAATAAATAAACTCCCTTGATTATATAGATCATTGTGTCACAGTTCAGTGGCGGATCTAGAATTTTGGAAGGAAGGGGCGATATCTGACTATGAAGGAGCGATACCTGAGTAGGGGGAGGGGGCGATTTTGGCTAAAATCTATTTTTTGAGTCCAAATGAAGTAGTCTGAATCTATTTTTTCGTTCATTTTTGCTGTAAGTAATAAAAAAAAAATTCTGAAGGAGGGGGCGATCGCCCACCGCTAAATCCGCCACTATCACAGTTGAAAAATCTGTTTTTTTCAGACAGGGTCAGAATTGCTATTCATTTAATTTATGTTCTGTCTGAAATCTGGTCAATATAATAATAAAAAGAATTTGTAGAATATTTCCTAGTTTATCTCATACCGATGCAATTCAATGAATACCTCAAAGATTGGTCTATGTCAGAAATCTCTCTTTTATACATATGTACAATCAAACTGTTATTTCTTACTTTAATCTTTTTTCTGATCGTTGACTTTTTTCTTTTTTAACTTCGAATTGATGATGATCACCTTTTACTGTATTTACTAATTTAACATCATATTTTGATTCATATCGAGCACGATTTAATGCAAATTTTGCTTCCTAGAAAATAAAATAAAATTACAAAAATATGTATATTTTTCTTCTCTTATACATGATCTAATCGTTGTATATAATTTCTATCAGTTTCATTTGGTTTTTGATCAAGTTCAGGATATTCAGGATCTACAGTTGGTTCTTGTTTAAATTTATTTTTATTTTTCTTCTTTGATGCTTTTCGAACTTCTTCAGCATGTTTTTTATTTTCAAGAAATTCTTGAAAACGATGAGTGACTTTATTATCGATCTTTTCACCTTTTTTTGGTGCTTGATTTGCACCAACTAATTTTCTATTATAATAAAAAAATTGAAATTGGAAATTAATTCAAGAAAAAAGAAATCTAACTTGTCAACAAGAAGTTTTCGAGGACCGGAATAAAATGGATCAATTGCTTTAAGTTTTTTATGTCGACGACCACCACGACGTTTTCGTACAAGTACCATTTTTATATTTTATATTTATGAAAAGTAGTATTTCTAAAAATCGAATATATTCGAAAGACAAGATCTATTGGTTTATTTGATCGAAGCAATCATGAATGAATAGAAAGATGGCGTATTACTTTGATATAATTGAAGCAAGTAAGATCATATAAATTTATCTATATGTATTACCATATATTAGATTTGATAATTGAAACTATTTTATGTGATTTACAAATATTTAGTTATTGATTGCTTGGAGATATATAGTTAAGGATTAGCGAATAATTTGAATTGATATTTCTTTTCTTAAATAGATTCTATTGACTATGATATACTTGAAAGATGTTGGATTAAAATAATCTTAGTAATGAATATAGATCTTGTTTCAGCCTGATAAGAGTTGTATCATTAAAACAAAATCTTATAATTACGTTGAATTAATGAACAATAAATTCTGAAACATTTTATCTTAAAGAATATTAATAATCACTGGTTTTTAATAGATCGGTGCAAATCTTAAGAAAACTGAACTTTGATAAAAAAAATATAGAACAGTAGAAAAGGTAAAAAGATGACGAACGAATATAAGTAGGTCGAAATATAAAAATGAGTTCGAGATAAGAATATCATTTTATTAAACTAATAATAAACATTTATGAATAAGGAATTTAATTAATCTAATATGTTTACATAATTCATGTTTATTCAAAGGTGAATATGACTTTCATATTTTAAATTTTGGTCTATTATTATAGTCAGTAAAGAGAATGTGAATGATTGAAAATAAAAGGTATTGTGGGTATTTTAAAATTTCGTCATTCGGTAATATATTAATTATATTATATACAGTCACATAGCGTCATCTTTTTCTTTCAAAAATCATTGTTAAGAATAAACAATCAAAGCAATTTATTTTCTCTCCTCTTCCTTACTTTTTCTTTTTCTTATGAAAATATGTGACTATGAAAATAATGTGTTTGATCACAAGTCCAATAATAATATCGTTTACAGTCGATATCATACCATTTGTTTTTGTGTTTTAAGATTTCATCGTTTATAGAAAAATGGGTAAACGTAAATCGAAACGAAAAGCACCACCAAAACAAAAACGAGTTGAAGCTCTTTCACTCGTATTTCCATGCCCATTTTGTTCGCATGATCGTTCATGTGAAGTGAAAATGTAAGAAATAAATATTCTAATTTTTATTAAATTAATTCTTTGTTTTTTTTCTTCTTCAAGTGATCGAAAAGCAAGTGTTGGAACAATTGAATGTCGTATGTGTCAAGAAGCATATTCAACTACAATTCATTGTAAAAATAATTACATAATTTATTTTTCTACTTTCATATCTTTATATTTAGATTTAACTGAAGCTATTGATGTATATAATTCATGGATTGATGCATGTGAAGAACAGAATCGTGATTAATTAATTTTTTTTCCTTGACAATATTTTGTTTTTATGTAAAGAAAAACAAATAATAATTGAATATTTTCTTTTCATAATTTAATAATATACATATATATATATATACATGTTATTACTGTTGTAATCTTCTTACAGATCAATATAATGGGTCGAAAAAAAAGTAAACGAAAAGTTCAAAAAACGACTAGAAAATTACAAACATTACAAACACTTTTTGAATGTCCGTTTTGTAATCATGAAAGTTCATGTGATGTGAAATTTGATCGAAAAAAACAACGTGCACAAATTTTTTGTCGAATTTGTTCAGAAACATATGAAACAGATGTAAATTGTAAGTAGAGAAAAGTACAAAAGAAATATTTTGTATTACTCTGTTCTTCTAGAAAACAAAAATCAAGGTTATATGATAGAAATAGACTTTCGATAATTTTCTTATATTTGCATTTATAGAATAGTTTATTTTAGTTTTCCTGAACATCTCCTTTTTTTGTAAATATTAGTAAAAACTTCCATGATTTTAATACAAACGGATCAAATAAAATGCTTGATAATATTAATCTATTTGGGTTATACTACTGAATTGTAGTACTTTAATAAACTATACTCTTGACAAATCCGTTCGAATCATTTAAATAATGATTTATATATATTATAGTATTTTTATACGAATTGCATGGATTCGTCAATATTTCCCAATA